ACCCCTCATTCCAAAAGAATCTGTGCTGGTTGGGCGACATAACAGGTTACCGCTACTGTGTATTCCAAAAACATTGTGCGTCTTTCGGAATTAAATTCTAAAAATATCACGTAAATTTCGTTACAATTTCTCAGAAACGATCATTGCGGGAAAATTGTGGGCCGGGACTAAGATTTTTGAACGATCGATGCGATAAAACGATAGTTCGAGGAACGATAGAAGCGGGAAAATGTAACATTATTTTATATGGGATGTATCCGGGACCGGACAAAACGGACGATGCATCCGGGAACGATGGATAGAGGTTTCACTGTACTTGTCATTTCCCACTCATCACATGAATTTGATCCCTTCCCCACTACAATACTGTGAATTAATTCACGTGCTTTCATAAAATGAAGCGATGTTGTCATTCAGTGTGATTTTGAGTCACATCTGGAAACTAATTTTCAAATGGAAAAGATTAAAATTCTGTATCACTTCTTACAATTCTGAAACCATTTGCCTCTATTAAATTTTGAACAGTTGGTGTTGCTGTTGCCCAGCAGTGAAGGAATTATTGACTGAATGGCTGGAATTAATTTCCCCAGTAGGAGCAGTGAACTGTTTATCTTTACCATTGCTGTTCACTGGGATTACCCAGCCTCTTATTGAATTGTTATTAGAGGCAATTTTCCTGGTGCTGAATGTGGCGAGAGTGTGAAACCAACCACACTTCTATGGCATAGAGCTCAGAATTGTCAAATTTACCTTTACATGTCTTAATGGAATCGTAAAATACCAAGCATTTTTGTTTCAGACAGGTTTGCAGTTCAACGTAAATTGGAAACCATCAATTCATGCTGCATATATACACTACTGTATAATATTACTGAGTAGTACATATTGTCAGTTCTCTTTTCACATGTTTTCCTCCATTTCTTCCTCTGTTAGTTCATGAAGTATTCTATTCTTCAGGTATTTTGTTGATGGTTATGCTTAATTCATTATCTGTGACAGGAATCTTCCTTTTCAGATAAATCTCAGAATGCAAAGTACAAATCAAAATTTGTGAACATTGAACAAATATATGAGCAGGCCATTTTTGTTTCTGATTTCCATATAAAAGGTTCCTATTTACTAAAAGGTAATTTTACATTTGTTTCTCGTGATCAAATTTTCTGATAAAGGTGGGTTTCATTTAATCTAGATCCCATTTCATGCAGGTTCTACTATATCACCCTCTCACAGGTGTTTGTAAACAACAAATTGTTTGTTTCTCAGCACTACAACCCTGTTGTGAGTTTTCGCCGCCTCCTTTTCGGAGGATTCTTGGTCTTTGTCGTGTGTGAAGTAGTGAGTGACCAGCCCACTGACTGCACAATATCTACTCAATCCTGATTTGACTGCCAGAACCATCTAGCAGTTAATCACGAGACTTTTTGGGTGAGAAATGGCCGCTGAATTTTGCTTATGAAACATCTCGTATCATGCTCATAAGGTTCTTTTACATGCCGCAAATCTACGACATGGGACTGCCGGCTTTACTTCCCCTCCAAAGGAAGTTGTGCTATGGATTTTTATCACCCTTAAAAATCCATCGACCTCGGCCTTGGGTCCAGTGGCGAGCACACTAACCACTAGTCCACCGAGGGCGACTTTTACCATAAGTATATAGGCATAAATGTATCGCAAAAAAAATTAAAATCACTGATAACCTATATTTTAACTTAAAATACAGATTGTAACAACAAAATTGGTCAGTGATCACAGACCAAAGATGATAAGTCTATTAATAGGTACACAGACATGGAGACATACAATTAAAATGACATTCACCTTCCTAAGTGATTCAAGAAACACTGAATATGATAGTGATGAGTTCTACACCACAGAATATTACTTATGAATTCACTGTTTTTTGTTTGCTCACAAAACTATACAATTACATTCCTATTCCAAGTACAAAGCAGATCACATCATGTTGCCCTTTTAACTTCTGAAGTGCTTCAGTCCTTTGAAATAAAAGAGAACACAAAAGAACTGTGCACATCAAGTGACAGTTATATTACAAACTGAAACCATGCTTATCCATAGCCCACTGACCTTTTATAGTTTAGGTACCCAACAAAATACATACACCACAAAAATTAACAAGCCGCTCAATGCGAAAGACTGGTCTGAAGAACGGGTCGGAGATCCTGTGTCATTATCGGGTACGACACGAGGGGGGCAGTGGCCCCACTGATTGACAAGGGTAATGACTGTGGTCCTTGCTGAGGATTCTGTTGCTGTCCTTGTTGTGGTGGTGCTCCAGGTTGTTGTGGCTGTGGACCTGAAACATACAGTCTTTCTGCCACTTTGATCTGGACGTCACGTTCACGTGCATAAACTTCTTCTCACAAACACATGTACCCTCTCAATACCTGCCAGCAAAATGCTTCCAGTTGTGAGTATTCACCATTGCCTATGCCAGTCTGTACCATACCTTTGGAAAAACCGTCCATTCTACGAAGTGATTGGGAATTTGTTTACAGGTATTCAACTGATTATTCATCTAGGTTGTAATGGCCCTTTCCAGTATTTCCTGTTTAACACAGCTTTTTCAAACACTGCTGTCGCGTTCTAAGTCACGTCTTTCATGATAACTCCCACCTCTGGCTGCACTGTAACGTTTGATGATGGAGGCAGCATGACCTCCGAACAGTTGGTTGACATTACCAGACTACACGGCACAACAACCCAGAAGACAGCAATCTTCTTTTCACTGTAACGTTTCTTTAAATGCACACTGTCATCAAAGGATTCAATTGCGATTCAACTATAATTTACACTCGCATCCCTTGTCTGAAGTTGTAACTTACTTCCATGTGCCAACACTGTTTTACATTCTGCAACCAAGCGCCATTTCAGACAAGTCTGCTGTATTGTAATATTTTTAATATACCTTCCACTGCAAGTGTTTGCTGTGCCATTGTCACAACTGGAGGTGGAATCTGAACAGGAGCCATTGAAACAGTTGCTATTGATACAGGGGCTCCAGCTACAGCAGCAATTGACACTGGTACTGTCGCCACACTGGCCGTCACTGTTCGCAGGGTGCCGGCTGCTACCGCTGCATTCACCTGTAACATGAATAGGGTCTTCTGAAAACATCTGTAACAAGCTATCAATCAAATAGTTGAAAGCCATACACAACCAAGCAAAGGGCAAGGAATAAAATGTTTGTAGCAGTGAGCTTCTACAATGCATTCACTGATAAAATTGAATGCAACATCCACTTCCTGGATTCCAACATGCACTTCTATCGGTAGATTTGTTGATTTTAATAGTTTTTGTGGAGTGATACTGGACTTGAATCAGGAAAACCACGTAACTCCTGGTAGTGAGTCATGCAGTTCCAGTCAGGAGCCTGGAACTGACAGCTACAAACAAATATATCAGTGAATGCACTGTATTTTAAATTTTATGTCATTAGTACAGTGGAAGAGTGAAATCACAGCCATTCAGCTGAACCTGTCTGAAATAATGTTTTGAAAAAACTGTGACTCTTACAATAAATTTTACATTCAAGCTCTGAATATCAAAATCATAGCTTCCAAAACTCCCAAAGTTGTGATACAAAATCATGTTTTGAATACAGGTAGAAATCATAACAAAAGTGTCCCATGGATCTTCCTCAATGACTTAATTCCCGTTGTTATTTGTGGTGAAAGGAGTGGTTCCCAGATTATGACCTGATATCAGTTGTAAAACAGTTCTCACCATTTGCTGGGGCGTAGGGGCCTGAGCAGGCTGTATCTGTGCTGTAATTGGCTGAACCTGCATTGTGGGTGCCCCTGTATTGGTGATAGTCACAGCCGGAACTGTAACAGCTGTAACATTAGCTGTACGTTTGCCCCCCATACGCAGCTGAGCATTCTGATCCAGAAGAAATTCGTTTGTAGCAGTGAGATCGGACACTTGCTTCTTCAGTTCTTCAATTTTTTTACGCAGTATACTGTTCTCATCATCCATGAGCAGTGTACGTGCCTCTACATGGGGCAACATGGGTGCTGTGTAGTAGTGATTGTGTGGAGTCTGCTGAACATAAAATATACATTATAAGAGAAAACCACAATAGCATGTGGATGGAAAAATAAAAGACTTTCTCCGTGAAACACAATACTTTAGAACTTCAGCTAATCAAAAGATTCCCCACCACCTACAGAAACCAAGGGTCCATTACCATGTCCATATTCTAAGATACATGAATCAATCCGCACCCAGCTCAATTTCTCTAAGTTCTATTTTAATATTATCCTCCCATCTATGCCTGTGTCTTTTGAGTGTCCCTTCAGGCCTTCAAACTCTGACATGTTATTCTTAACTTTAATATGTTTCGTTTATGTTGGTCTTCTGTGTTGTAAATGTCATTTAGGTGTGTACATAAAGACCAATTATTATGAAACTCATGTGCAGGTAAAAAGGTTCATTCCCAATAAGTTATTTTGAGTTTTTAGGTTAAAAAATGCAGTAATTACATTATATTTTATAACATGCAAAGCTCTGAGATGGTTTGAATTCCTATTAAATCCATACATGAGCTCATACCGCAGAATTTAATTGTGTGCCGAAAAAGTAAAATAGCTTCCACTCAATGTCTTCATTATTCAGACACTTCAGATTACAACTCAAGCTCACTTTTTAATTGATACGTGTTACAATAATCTGCATGTTCAATAAAAATCATTTCAACAAATTCTGAAGTTTGTCAGGTTCATACCTGATAGCTCTCCCGAGGCAGCAACAACTGGTTGCTTTGCTGAATGTCAGGGCTAGGATAGTGGCGTCTCTTTACTTCCGGTGATCCAAACTCTCGGTCCAAACCAACAACAGCACTTCCAGGGCTTATGAAGCAATCAAATCTTTATGAAAAGAAAAACATCTGTTTTAGTTTATGCATATAACTCAAGTAAAAAGGAGATAGCACTCTATGAAATAGAGACTGAAAAAGAGTAAGTAGGGACAAATTCTGGCAAGGGTTTTGCTGTTCTTGATTTTCTTAATAAGCATTTGAGTAATAATATCATGCTTTATAGAATGAATCTATGTAGGAATTTAACAAACACCAATGAGTAAAGTAAAGCTGTCTCACTACATTCTATGAAGATGATCAGGAGAAGAGAAGGTGTAACTCCTATTCATTCTTGATCTCGGCACTAGATGGAGTTAGACGGGCTTGAGTGATCAGTGTCATAGCCAAGCTGTGCTATAACCTTGGTAACCACTGGATAGAAGGCTGATCGGGTGAGCCCCAGAGACAGTCTGGATGCAGAGGCATTGCCCTACCAAGGACTGTGGCCCAGTCACACAGTCCATAGTCAAATACTATACTGATTGGGCTACTCTGGCTCATAAACAGCAATCAGTACAGAAATATAAGCACCTTGTGTCTTCAAATTCAAATCTGTCTCTTCTTCTGGAGACGGACCCTGTGCCATTTGTTGTTGCAGCTGTATGAGAAGGGTTTCTCGTCCCATAAGTTAACTCCATTTCATATTCCCTTACAGACAAATGGCGAAACCTGCACTTGCCTCCCCGTCGACACTCTCCCTTCAGAAAATCCTTGCAAACAGGAACCTCCCCTGGTCGAGAAACATCAGGTGCAATGCCTAGAACACATACAGGGTATAAATAATATACTTTAAACAACTTGAAATAAATTTTAGGAAAATGGTTTCTACAAGATTCTGGCAACTTTTAAGGCTGCAGAAATTCACTTTCAAAGCTTTAGCATTTTTCCCATCTACTATTCATTTTGTGAAGAAGTCTTTTTACAATTTTATCGTTTTTAATGAGCCACCTTTCACTGCATGCAACAACCATTTCAAATTACAAAATAACCACAATCTTCATACTATCCATATAATGATAAATACAACCTTTCTAGGGGCAGACGTAACTGCCTTTGAGTTACACAATATTTCAAATTAACATTTCAAACAACTGTCAATGGGTTAGTCATAAATTTAAGCTCAATCTTACTACTTACCCTTCCTGACAGTAGTTTCCAGTACATGTCGAGGCAGTTCCCCAGTAGCTCTGTAGTACTCCTCTTCCTCACGTGTGCAGTGAACAAAACGACACAAAGTGCGTGAACACTTCAAGTTTTGGTAATCATGGCAGAAAACATACTCAAACTTTGTACCTGTCAGAGAAATCACAATTTATTCTGTCATGCATTGCACTTCTACAATAAGAATAATCCTCATGGGTGCTAGTAAGACTAAAAACAAAAGTCAAATGGACATAAGTATTCTAACTATTGCCAAAACAAACCAATAAATGACTCCCTACCTACATCTTCTTCCTTTTCATTTGGATGCAAGAACTTGCAACGTTTCCCTCGCCGACAAACTTTACGAAGGAAATCTCTACACACACCATTACCACTGAAGTCACTATTTCTGTCACCACTTGGGCTATCGGAACCATTTTCTGAGAACATTGCTTATTCACGAACTTGGTATCTTACATATCAAACAAGGAACATAAACTTGTATGAAGCATGTCAATTTTTTTAAATGTCCATTGCCGCTAATAATATAGTCACTTCATAATTCCAACCATTTTTACCGAAGTATCACACTCTATGCGAACTAACAATGAACACGAAACGCAGTAATATAAATAATCACAAAATTTCCAAACTGTCAGCCATGTTTATTGCTAGCACGAGATTCATTGGTTCTCCTTTTCTTCTTCAGTAACATGGTTACATACGCCATCTAATGGTTAAAAATTAAAAGTAGGAATTCGATATTTTTTCGCGAGGTAGCGTTAAAAGCTGCACGGTAGAGAACAATAGAAAGAGTGATCGATAATTTTGTTTACATCGCATTTGATGTTAAAAACTGTTAAATTTAAACATGTCTGGGAAAAGGAAAGCTGAAGAAATTGTTCAAGAATCTGATAACAAGCAACATAAGACAGATAAAAAAGATGGAACTGAAGATATCATTGTAAAAGAAGAAGAAAACGGCGAGACAGAGTCGCCTCTTCCTTCAGCGAACAATGACAATGAGAACGGAAGTCAGGATGGATTATCATCAACCGATACTTTGGATAAAAAAGACGACAAAGATGTGGCAAGTTCATTATAATTATCTGAATACCAAGCATTCTGCTAGTCGCAATACTTGAATATATTGTTTTCTTATATGCCAGGATGTAGTTTTGACATTTATACTGCTACCTGAAATGTTGCCATTGATCAATGTGTCAGAAGAGTTTTACCTAGATTATGCATACGTTTTATGATAATACATTTAATTACATACATATAATTTCGTACTTGGAGTTTCAGTTGTTGCTCCTGTTAGCGTGCTACCAACGCAAATACCCTAAAAGTGTGTTCTGTTATAGCTGCTAGTTCAATTCTTTTTCTTTTAGGGATCAGATTTGTTTAATATTTACTGCTAAGGGTTTTATAATGTGTTTTCACGCAACAGTATGTTATTTACGTGCGTGTTTAAACAATACCAATATCAAAATTGCAGTAATGTTTGGTTAGTGGTTGTAGTGGCTAGGGCTCCTGATTCAAATCAGAAGGTTCCAGGTTTGAATTCAGGCCAAAGTTCTGCTATCCTGAATGAGGATTTTCTTGGC